TTCAATAAATATTCAAATAAATTTTAAGTCTACTCTTAAAAACAGACAATGATTCGGCGTGGACAATGTATCCTGGCAAGCTATTCCATTTCCCCACAATGCGAATGAAGAAACAATATTTGTAACAATTACAAACCGCTCTTTTCAGGTAAAGTTTATAGTCGTGGTTAGCTCTTGTACGCTTATTGGCAAACACAAAGAAATCTGGGAAAGAGAGGTGATCAATACCAAAAACTATCTTATAACATTGAACCAGAGATAGAAATTCTCTCCGCTTTTCTAGTGTTTGCCATTTTAGTAAGCTACAACGGTGTTCGTAATTCATTTCGCCTCGTTTGTGCCTTAAAGCTAGTCGCGAAGCTCTTCGTTGAACCGTTTCTAGAGCCGTGATATCCTTAATCAAATACGGACTCCAAAAAGGAGCCGCATACTCCAGTATGGGCCTGACCTGACCTGACCTGATTTATAGAGCTGCAAAAACACGTACTGGCTATTAGTTCCGATGGACCGCTTTATGATACCTAGTACCATATTTTAAAAGCGCATGACACAGCACATTTATTAAAAGGACATGACTATTTTGAAAAGGCTAAATGATATACCTAATGCGAAGATATTTCTGTTAAAAAATCTCTAGTTTTCCTTTTAATACTTTCGTTTCCCTTCGCAGATTTCTATGTACATTTCAATTTTCTATGCAAATTTTCGGGATGAAGGTTGTTTTTTGCGCTGGCCTTTAAAATCATTGTAGCATGGGTGTGTAGCCCACCAAACTTGACCCATTTGCACATGCCTAACGCTTGACCACGCTGCTTCTGAGCCTTGATTGGATCGATTTCCAGTACGTTCAGCTTATTGGAGCCTTGGCTCAATTCGAGTTAACGATGTGTTGTTAAACATGATAGCCTTGGTGACCACACCGGTGACACGATGCGCTGTTGTGGTCTCGGTACTGCCTGACTGCACTGGGTTGGACCGTGGATGAGAAGAAACAAGCAGGAAAAAATATCATCTTCATCTTGCTTCTGAATTGTTGGTTTAACAGAGCGTAGGTAAACGGGTTGGTGGCAGAGTTGAACATGACGGTTAGGTAAGAAATAGGTAAAACGACCGTGTTATAGTCCATGGATGCATAGGCAGTGTACGACACAATGTAAATGGTACCACCTGTGCACCAACATATGCCAAATATAGCACTGACAGTAACCACCATCAAAGCGATTCGCTTTCTCACCCTTATCACAACCTGTAAATATAAAAATAAAATATATATTTTGGTTACACATTTCCGACGCGATAGATAACATTGTTCAATATACAGGTCTATGATCGTAAATGTGCAAAACTCAGATCGCCCTCCACTTCTACTCGATCCACTGCTATCTTTACTTTACTGATATTATTTGCAGGTCAAAATATCTGATTTATTTAACTATTACCATTTGCTGCTGCGTCAGCTGATCTTGGTCTTTATCCTTGATCCACAAATTGTACACGACTCTACAGTACAGAAAGGCCATTAGCGCAGTGGAAAAAGCTGGAAGAAGAAACCACGACCAGCTCGTCGCCTTTGCCATCCACTCTTTTGGGAAGAGCTGTGCGCACTTGTTTGCTCTCTCATCAAGGCCGACTGCCAGGAACAACGGGATGTTGAATAAGGTGGAAAAAATCCAAGAACTGGCAATGATCACCTGTTTGCAAATACGTGCAACAAGGTTACTTTAATTCGTGTAGTTGCATCTATCAAAATGTATCTTCTATTAGTTATTCGTTTACTTACTTAAGCTCATTTAGCGGGTTTTGCATATCGAAATGTAGTGTGTGGCGTTGCCTCTTAAGGAAAACATCTTTTTATTGCCACGCAATTCAAAAGTCCGATACAGAAAAATTTCATGAACGGCCTTTATCATTCCTTCTACTATAAAATTAAGCCTCAAACTTCTCCCATAGAGCCTAGGTTAGTAATCAACAATAATACGCTCAAGAACGTCTTACATTTCAAACGTATGAGCTCTTGACTGAAAGTCTACACATGCTTATGTTTGAGGGCCCAAAAACATTCATGCAACATCACAGATGTCATACTATGCGCATAGTGTCCATCGCATGAGAAGTGGTTTTCCCGATTCTCTCGACAAAATGGGTTGTTTTAAGAACACACGACATTATATTACTAAGAAAAAAAATTGGAAAGACAAAAGTGGCTTGCCTATAGAACAGTCTGCTAGAAAGGATGTCTGGACTTCCTTCCTTAATTAACCATAACTTCTAAAGATGCAATTACATACCTTCAATTTAAACTTGGTAAATGCTCCTATGTTGTTGAATGGATATAACACGGCATTGTATCGTTCAAAGGCGATGGCAACGAGTGTGACAATCGAGGAAGCAGCTCCAAACCATGACAAATTTCCTCCTGTCACAAGTTTGCATAGAACTAAGCCACCTATCCCATCCGGATGGACACCAGCAATCTTGACAAGGAACACTGGTGCCATAAAAACTGCGTACATCATGTCTGCTACAGCTAGGTTGACGATTAAGTAATTCAAATGGGTCCTGTGGAATGAATGTGGCCATAAGAAAAGGAACATCAGGCCAAAACCAAGAAGAAATCTCAGATCAGTCTTGTTAATAACGACACTACTGTACCTCATCTCTTAATTTTTCTTTATAATCCAGCAAACAAGGGAGTTTCCCACAATATTAATTACGATTAATGCCAGGAGTACGGTCCAAAGCGAAATGCTCCCTGCTTCGACCATCACTCAGGCGTCAAGTTCAAATGTCCGAAGGCCTGTGCTAAAGTGTAAGGAAGCGGTGTCAAAACTGATTTCAAGTGATGATGATGATGATGACAAACTTTATTCATGTGTCAATGTATTTAGCTGACGCTAATTGGAGACACAACGTAAATGAATAACCTAATTAATGATAAGAAATAATCTATAGATTATATAGCCTAAGAGGTACAAATTACGCACGCGGGACAATTGTTACCATTTATCAGTTCAGTAAGATCCTTACGCCTAATATGAAGCTTAAACCTAGAAAGGCTACTAATTTCAGTGACGTTTTTTTTTTCAGTTTGTTCCATAAAAGTGGTCCAAGATATCGATCTATCAAGTAGAAAGTAATCCACAGAAAAAACAGCAAACAAAGTATGTCGTGTAAAATAGGAGGGGTAAGAGATAAAGGATGAAGGAGAAAGGGAAATAATGAGAAGGGTAAATGATGTAGGATTGAGGATAATGGGTTCTATAAGGAAGAGGTAGGAAGAAAAATGGAGAAAAGAGAAATGAAGCAGGATCAAAGATGACCAAAGAAGGATGAAGACGGAATAAAAATGGAGGAAGGATAAACGATGCAGGATAAAGTATAAAGGATGGAAGATGATGAAGTAGGAAGAAAACGGAAGGAAAATAAACGATGCAAGATCAAAGACGAAAGATGATCAATGAAGGACGAAAGATGAAGGTTGAAGTTGGAAAAATTGTGGAAAAGATCAACAATGCAGGATAGAGGATAAAGAATGATCAAGGAAGGATGGAGGATAAAGGGAGAACGAAAATGGACGAAAGATAAACAGCGTAGGATCAGTAAAAGATGAAAGATGACAGGATAAAAGTTGAAAGATGAAATAAAAATGGGAAAGGAATAACTAATGAAGGATGATTGACTTCGCCCCTGCCAGATCTTAGACTCATTTACATACTTAGTATGTTTGTCTCAAAATGCAACAGTACAAAATTTGCAAACCAACCGGATTCGGGATCAAAGATAAAGAAATCTTACAGAAAAGCAGACAAATGTTGAATTTTTTCGATCTGTTTTGTACGAGTAGAAAACTGAAGCTGAATTCGCATCTGCTGTGATCTTTGACTCATTTGCATCCGTCAACTGCAACAGTACAAATGGGTAAAACTAAACCGAAATTGGGATGCTTTATGTCGGAAAAAACTTCAAATTTATCTTCGGAAAAGTTTGATTACAAATTAGATACTCAGCGAATTCGAAAAAGGCTTAGTATTCCATTAAATGATGAAAAACGCCCTCCATGTATTTTCTTAGAGGATCAATACTCAGACAACGCAATTTTAAGTGTATTCTGGTGATGGAAAAGAAATAAATAATGAAGTCATGTTGACCAATAATCAAGAGAGAAACTTTCCTTACCTGTGGCTAATGGCAGATAAACCCAGACAAACTTTCAGTGTCACAGAGAAATTACTTCGAAGAGGTTACTTACCTAAAAGGACAGTTTGCTACTGAATGGGTAATGAACATTGAGTTAAGCGGCTTTTCTTAGTACGTCACATTATTTTCACTGCAGGTGTTCCATCCAAATATTGGGAGATTAAAAGTAGTAATATCATCAATACTTAGCTACTACATATATCTTATTAACCAAGCGCGAGGGCCGTACTGGGAGAATATCGGCCCGAGGTCTTGACAGTACGGACCGAGCGCAGCGAGGTCCGTATAAAAAAGACCGAGGGCCGATATTCTTCCAGCACGGTCCCGAGCAAGCTTGGTTAATAAGAGATTTATTACACGACTGAGGTTCAAAGGGACACAAGTGCGGTATCATTCGGGACCATTCAGGACCATTCGGGACAGTGCCCGGTCCAATACTGAGAGAATATTGTCCGGCAATAGAGCATTTTGATTGGTTGATTTTAGTTATTGGCCCTCTGACTTCCCAAGTCGTGTAATAATGCGACATAATAGTCAACTTGAAAATTACCGAAACTTGTTAAATCTGTCAAAATAAGTGTGAAAAATGCACGTGTGCAGTACATTAAAACAAAAGCTCACACTAAATACTGGTAAGCTTTCTTTTAGAAGTGATTTCTCATCTATCTAAATTAACCTGCTAACTGAAACTTGGCCTCTCATTTTGTATTCTACTTTAAAATTGATGCGTGTCTTTCTGCGCCAAAGGAATGACGTTCAATCGGTATTAATTACATTGTAATGTTCATTTTGATAAAACAGGTGTTTGGATCGGAGAACTAGCTTTTTTCCTTAATTTCTTCCGAAGGAGTGATGTTTATCGATCTATTTAATTGTTTTGAAACAATTTATCGCAATTCTGTTTTTGATGGTTAACGCTACTGCGAATGTAAGCATCAATGAAATACACGTGGCATCTGTAATCGGTTCAAACTGTATTTTTACGCGAAACGGTCTCTTTATATTCTGATATAACAATGGTTTCTCGGCGCTTTACATCTCTTTTGCTGCATAACAAAACAAATCAAGAGTGAGAAGCTTGTCAAACGTAAGCTACAATAATTATTACATGTAGGAAGACAAGCTCTCAGCCGGCCCTGGTGGCTGCAGTAACAATAATTTTAAGATGTGAGTGTGAAGCCTCAATGCAGTTAGGCTGGGAACCTTAAATATTAATACGGCTGATGTGTACACTCACGAAATTTCCCGTCTTGATGACCAACTTCCGCGAGCAAATTATTTATGTAGTCAGCGGCGCGCATTGCACGCATGCGAAAGTGTGCATATGTGGTATCGATGGGCAACCACAAGACACATGGGCAAAAGTACTCGACAATCAGCATCTTGGCATATTCGATTCTGAGGGATCGTTGAAAAGATGCCGGACCCTAGTGTAAGATCAGAATTTGATGGATCGGCAGGGTGTTTCAATAAGTGCATAAAGGTTGCGTGTAGATCTAAAAAAGAAACAATGACTTTTGTACTGAGCTTGACTGACTCTTCAAAAGTTTGGATACTTAAAATGGAATTTAGAGGGAAGTGCAATGACAGTGTGGTCACTAAGGGTATCATGTTTTTAAAACGCCGTTGACAAGAAATGACGCAAAGCCCCAGATTGCGTTGTCGTGGTCTAGGTACTGCCTGACTCTCCGCCGACACTAGGTTGGACCGTGGATAAGGAGAAACAAGCAGGAAAGATTATCATCTTCATCTTGCTTCTGAATTGTTGGTTTAACAGAGCGTAGGTAAACGGGTTGACGGTAGAGTTGAACATAACGGTTAGGAAAGAAATAGGCAAAACGGCCGTGTTATAGTCCACGGATGCATAGGCAGTGTACGACACAATGTAAATGGTACCAGCTGTGCACCAACATATGCCAAATATAGCACTGACAGTAACCACCATCAAAGTGACCCGCTTTCTCACTCTTATCACAACCTGTAAATAAAACAAAGATAATTTGGTTACACATTTCCGACGCGAGAGATAACATTGTTCAATAAACATGTGTACGGTCGTAGATGTGCAAAATTCATATCGTCCTTCCCTTCTTCTTAACCCAAACAAAAGAGGAAAATTAAAGTGAAAGTAAAAGGGGAAAAGGGTAACAAAGTGGAGATGTTGGGGTGAAATCTGCTTCATTTTGTGGAAGCTATACAAACTCGCCACGTGGCTAACGACATGAGGTAAAGCTTCTCAGACTGCTATTGCTGCAGGTATATTAACTACTTAAATTTGCTAAGCCGCCAACATTTGGCTTTGTAGCTCAGTTGGTAAAAATGACCAGCTGGCATCTGGAAAGCACCGGTTCGAATTGCGTCGAAGCCTGGATATCTTTAGGCTTCTTTGTCTCTAACTCTTGTAAATGCAGCTTACTTGGAAACATCGTTTCTCTACTTCACTGATATCATCTGCAGGTCAAAATATATGATTTATTTAACTGTTACCATTTGCTGCTGCGTCAGCTGATCTTGGTCTTTACCCTTGATCCACAAGTTGTACACGACTCTACAGTACAGAAAGGCCATCAAAGCAGTGGAAAACGCTGGAAGAAGAAACCACGACCAGCTCGTCGCCTTTGCCATCCACTCTTTTGGGAAGAGCTGTGCGCACTTGTTTGCTCTCTCATCAAGGCCGACTGCCAGGAGCAACGGGATGTTGAATAAGGTGGATAAAATCCAAGAACTAGCAATGATAACCTGAAGTGATCAAACATACAGCCCTGAGTTGATGTGACAATGCTATTTAAATGATTTTGCTATAGAAGCAAGTGATATAGAAGCTTTAAAAGAAACCTTCCCAAGTAACTCTGAGGAAGAAATTGCCCAAGCCCTTGAAAATACCAGCTCAAGGAACGAAGCTGCTGAAAAACTTTTAACAGCTGACTCAAACATAGAACCAATTGATGGCATTTGTAGGTATGTAATCCAAACCAGGAGAAAGGGAGGGGAGTTGAGATACCACCTCACCTGTGAGAACAAACATATTGAACCTTGGACGTTCATTTGCATGGTTCCAGAAAATGTCTTTACCCCTCCCAGGATTTCTCAAAGTCTTTTTTTATGAATTAAGACATTCTCTTACTTCTTCCGCTTTATTTGTATCATTTCTTTTCTTCCATTCTCAAACTTAAGTGCCAACCAACCTTGTGAAGTTACAAATTATTTTTAATCAGCTCAGTTACCTTGTGATACTGATCTGAGTAAATTAAGCAAATTACATCAGAATAACATTTTGTGCAATTTTTTTCCCTCAGCCTTGATGATATCTTAAGCATGCTGTACAAGAGAGTAAAGCAGCATGAGCAATGTGAAGTTAGAGTAAGCAGGCAGGATCTTTTGGTGGATGGCATTAGGCAGCTATGACGGAAAAAAAAGTTTGTTGGGCCTCTTGACAGTGCAGTTCTTTGGAGAGTCAGGGATAGACACTGGAGGGCTCCGAGAGGAGTTTTTATCTGGTAAGATATCAGGCTCTAAACCAGGATCTGATATGTGGATGTCCAAGAACTTTAGGGAGGGTGCCACCCCCTACCATCTTTTGATAAACAGAAACTTCTATGAAATGGGCTACAGCTGTACCTGAAAGTCTTTCCTAACCTTTTCAACACGAATGATCTACTAATAATGATGTACTGCTCCAGGTTGCATTGGAAGTGACTAGCTGAAAGTACTTTTGCATGAAAAGCATTATTGTAATCATAGTTGCAGTTTATTATTATTGCCATTGACAGTGACAGGCCAGTGAAGGTTGTTTTCTGGTCAGTGTAACATAAGGGAAAACTCATTATGAATGGCCGCAACTCAGTTATTGTAAAGATACAAATAGGACTGAAAAAATTACATCTCTTCCCTTTATAAGTGTACAACTCCCATGATTTGAAATCTATTCCCCTCAAATCTTTTTTAACATTGTCTTCTGCAGCATTTATAAGTGGAATTCAGACCAACCTATTTGAGGGCATTCAACTTAGTGGTCTGTCACCTGCACCTCATGTTGAGGCTGTGGAGAATGGCTCCTTCAAAGTTGTTGGGCAAGTTATGGTTATGTCAATTCTCCAGGAGGGTCCACCGCTTGCCTTTTTAGCCAACTGGGTATACCACTATCTGTGTACTCCCGATGTCACAGCCATATCACTAATAGATGATGACATTGCTAATCCAGACATCAGGACTTTAGTGAAAAGGGTAATAATATGTCTTGTAATAACTGAACAAGAAAGTTCCACATTTCAATTGATCATTTCAATGAGGATAGCAATAATTATTGTTATATGCCTTTATATCACCTTATGATTTAGCAAAAGAATCTCCAAGCAAGACTGATAACATTAATGCTTATAGCACTGACCCTTCAGAGTATAAGAGCTAGAAAGTACTGAAAACTGTTTTGAACCTCCTTAAATACATGTATTAAACCAATTCTGAGAATGATAATTATGTCACCAGGTAAAAGAAGTGAACAGTAAAGAGGAACTGCAAGCCATTTTCCAAGAAGACACAAACATGGATGTGATAATGAATACTGGCTTTACATCCACAATTTCCTTAGAGAAAAAAGACACTATTGTAAGGTACAGACCAGTACAGTATCCCAAGATGTGTTTTATTGTTGTGTTGTTTAGAGCTGTTGCATTTTGTGTCTTTTGTCAGCTTTGATTTGCTGTGGCTAAAAGTTATGATTGTCCCAAACTTTCCTCAAGTTTTTGCATGGATTAATCTATAATTATATAGAACATTTTGTCTGTGTTACATTATGGGATCAATACCAAGATGCAACCAGTGAGGGGAATCTTGAAGAGCATTGGATATAATGATAACATGTATGCTTTAATTCAATGATCTGACATGTATATGAAACTAAATGCTGATGATCTAACTGTTCTTACTCAACTAACCGCAAGACTTACCACATCTAGGGATGATATTTTTTTCTCTTTTCAGGATTATAACACTTCAAAACACAATTATGAGGGTGAAAGCTGAACTAGACCAAATGAGGGAAGGACTTAGGCTGCACGGGTGCCTGGCCATGATGGAAGAATACCCATCACTCATGGAGAAACTCTTTGTGCCAGGAGAGGATTATACTGTAAGAGTTTTCCGGATAATATGTGCCTTATCATTTAGTACCCTTGTAAACTTTTCCGACATTCCTGGTTCAATCCTTCCTTTCATCATTTCTGCTTTGTATGTTTCTCTCTAAGATGAGAAAGGTTTGCCATGAGAAAAGCATTTCAGTTAATTGATGTGCGAGTCTTTGGTGAAAAAGAGTCACAATGTTTAATTTCTGTGTTTAAATTAATTACTATATTAAACAACAACAAACATATGAAACATATGTGTGAAATGCGGTTATGAGACGTATACAGTTCACACATATGTTTCATATGTTTGTTGTTGTTTGATTTATCATCTACGGGTTTATATCGAATTAATTTGATGGCCTGCTCCCAGTTGGCTTGTTAGCTCAATTGGTAGAGCGCTGCACTAGTATCGCAGAGGTCAGTGGTTCGAATCCCGTACAGGCCTGAAATTTTTTTCAGGTCTGATTTTCACTATTGCTCAAATAGTGCTTTACTGCGAAGGATCGTTCTCATATACGTAATTACTATATTACAGTGCATGCTAATTGATTTCTCAACTAAATCCTCAAAGTTAATGGACTGACTAAATGGTCTCGTTTGTATGCAGGTGACGTCTACATTTTTGATGAACTCATTAACAGCTGAATACTCAGAGCCTGGATCAACAAGGAAACTACAGGAAACAGCTGTAATGGCTTACTTCAATAGAACTGATATGTTGAAGAAAGAGAAGACAACTGTGAGTAACATGTATGAGCCTATTTAAACCAATACAGATATTTTTTTTCTTATTGCACAGTGAGCGAGTCTACCAACAGCACTGGTGGTGTTACAGAAATTTTTCAGTTTCTTACTGGAAAAACTACAATGCCAATTGTACCTACTGAGAAGAACAGTTTTGCCATAACAGTAAGGTTTATGCACTGCAGCAATGACCACCAAATTTGCTTCCCCACCGTTTCTACTTGTGCCCTTTGGGTACAGTTACCTGTTGCTCATATGACCACTTTCAGTGATTTTAAATTTAACATGGACACTACAATAAAACATGAAAAGACCTTTGGAAGAGCTTATTAGATGACTGCACTCAGTCTGTACTGGCGACCTCATTTAATAAGTGCTTGTACAACTTTAAAACAATAAAACATGGCTGCCAAGTCCCACCACCGAGGAAACTGGGACTTTATTAATTAATCGTATTGTGCCACCAAGAAACATTGTTGAAACTCTGTAACTTGTAACCAGTGAAAACATCTTGGAGAGACAAAAAACCATTAAAAAATGTCAGTAAAAGCTATTTTCAGTCAAATATACTGCTGTTAACTAGCGCTATTGGGTGAAAAAATATATTATTAAAATTAAGTGATTTTAGCTGCCTGTTTCTTTGGAAGACAAACATTTGTCATTGGAGATGGTTTGGTTCAATATTCACAGTATATCTCAAACAAGTAACACATTGGCACAAGTAAACGCACACCAATTTGCTTTCATAACAATTGGACAGAGGAATGATACCCATATGCCACCCAAGAGGCTGGCCTCACCTTTTACTGTTTCTATGTGCGAGAAAATTATATTAAAGTTTGGCTACATGTGATAGAAATGCATGAAGTACAGTTAATGCCTCCTGCCATTATACACAGGACTCCCCTTGTGGAAGTGATTTACTAGCTCCCAAAAGGAAAGAAATTTAGAGTTCACCTTCTGCAAACTTAGTAAGCTTCTCAAAAGGACTCCAGCTTCATGAATGCTTGTGGGGTTGGACAAGCCATTATTGTCTATGACATGTTGAAAATACTCATGGAAAACTGAGTTGCACTCATCATCCTCAACATCAAACCCTTCAAACCTATTTTCTATTTCTGTGAACTTGTGTGGCGATATTGAAACCAAGCAGTCGGTGTGTCCAAAATCCTCTGGCAGGAAGTACATCATGTCAGGAACACCGGATACAATGGCATGCTTTGACTTCCTGATCCGGTGACTGTTCCAGTATTCCTTTACCTTATTCAGATCAGTCTGCAGCAAATCAGCAAAACAAAACCAAATTGCCTCTTTCTGCAAGTCACTAGTCAGATCAAGAATGTCAGACTCGTGAAGGTCATTAAAGAAGTCGATCCACCAACTTAAACGTTGTTTCCTGTAATGTGACCATTGACATTCAATACGCTGATTCTTAGAGCTTGATACGTATTTGTGGGACTTTGATCCTGCGTATTCATCCAATCCCTCACCTCTCAAATAGCACTGTATTCCAGCAACCAGACCATTTTCAGTGCCAGGGTCAGTGTATACACGCACTGGGCATCCATGTGCTGCTTTGACGTGCTTTATAAAATAGCTTACAACAGACCTTGGATTTTTGTTCGATCGTTGCACCTCATGCCAAAGAATTCTACGACTAAAGCCGTCTACACAGCCGTGAATAGAAAAGCCAAAAGGCTTCAGTTTATCGTAACCGTCCATGTGCCAGCAAAAGTTGGGTCCAGGTGACACATACGTTCTGCGCTGAAGACAACGGCTCTCTCTGTGTTCCACTCCTCTAGGATCAACCTCTCTAATTAAGAGTGACTCTACTAATCGCCGAGGAACATTAATCCGGTGTCTTAAGCGTAAGACATGCCACATAGTCCTGTAGCCATTGAGGCTATCAGGATCAGTGCATATTTCTTGTAAAATAAGATCCCTGACGCGTTCCTTGAGCTCCTCATCTACCGTTTCACGTCTCTTAAGTCCATAATCTTTCAGCATAATATTTCGCTTGAGAGTTCGCTGATTCATAAAAATACTATGTTGCTTTACCAACATCAGAGTAATATGCCTATACGTAAGACCTCTGTAAAAGTAATATTCAATTAAATCTCGCTCAGACCCACGAGGTAAGTCGTCGTTTAAAGTTGTGTCAGCCGTTTCGTATTCGCTCGAGATGCTCAAGTCTTCGATGGACGTCGAAGCGTTGTTACTCAAAATCAACTCCCGCAAAACCGGTGGTCATGACAGAATACCACCGCGACTGGTAAAAGATTCTGCCAACGAGTGAAAATTGGCGATACTTATTCGGATTGGATGAGCGTGAAGCGTGGTGTGCCCCAAGGCAGCGTCCTGGGAGCCATGTTTTTCAACATGTTCCTCAATGACCTCAACTTTCACATAAAGTCTGTAAAACTAAACACATATGCTGATGACTGCCAACTGCACACATCTGACGTAGACCCAGTAGCCTTGGAACAGCGGATCAATCATGATGTACAAATAGCAAACAAATGGTTCGAAGACAATGGGATGAAAGCCAACCCCGCTAAACACCAAGGGATGGTTCTTGGCAAAACCGATTACCCTTTCTCCTTCTCAACCACAAGATGCCTAACACTTTTTGGAATAATTCTTGATAATGAACTTAACTTCAAGGAACACATATCCTCTGTATGTAAAAAAATAAATAATCAGTTCAGTGTCCTCAAAAGATTTGGCAAACTTATTTCTACCGAAATTATGCTTCGCCTTTATAAAACGTTTATGTTACCACATTTTCACTACTGTTCAATGATATGGCACTTTTGTAACTCAGAGGACTCTGTTAAACTGGACACCTTAAATAGACGTATTTTAAGATTTGTTTTAAAGGACTGGGACTCGAACTACGATGATCTTTTAGACAAGGCAGGTGTGTGTGGTTTAGCCAACAGGAGGATACAAAATATGATGATTTGTATATTCAACTGTCTCCATCTTGGTAAATATCCGTGCTATCTGAAACAACTAATCAAGCTAAGATCTACTGCTTACTCCCTAAGGGGCACGAATATTTTATCACTTCCTAAGCCGTTTACAACCACATGCGGTCTAAATTCTTTTAGCTATTCATCTGTTAAGTATTGGAACTCCCTCCCTGGCCACTTTAGAAAAACTGTAGACTATAGCGAATTTAAGAGCAAACTGTCAGCGCACAATTTCTGTTAATATTACATTTATATCACATTATTATATTAACGAATATTATATTATTATATTATGAATTATTTTCATCTTTTAACCTGTTCTTGCTGTAATTTTAAAGTAGTAATTAGGATCGGAGATACTAGCTTATAAGCTAATCTAAAATCCGAGGATAATAAAGTTTATGTATGTATGTATGTATGTATGATGGACGCCATTTTGTTTTGATTTGATAAAAAAGCGCGCTTGCGACTCGGTCTCAGGCCTTGACGCGCAAATGCGCACGCATAGATTAAGTCCCTTTCATTTGCGGCGTGCCTTAGCTTTTTGTTTGCAGTGAGTTTTTTTTTCCCTTGATTTGGGGTGTGCGTTGTGCTTTCATTTGCAGTGTGCGGTTAACTTTTTTTAATTCGGTGTGTAGCGCTTCACTTTATTGTGTAGAAGTGCATTTGATTTTTCACTGACGTTAATAGTTTAATTTTATTCGTAGTATATTTGATTTAGTTTGCAGTAGTATATTTTTGTACTTTGGGTTTTTTTTTAGTTTGTAGCGCTGTCCCTAATTGGCCACCGTACATCTCCTACCATTTATTCGTTTACTTACTTACTTGAATGAATGAAATGAATGAATGAATGAATGAATGAAAAACTTTAACAACTCTATGTTGTTAGCTATAAGCTAATGGGGGACACTAAAAAATTTAAAAGTCAAATACATTTACATATGTAGATAATAGTCATTTACAGTAGATGATTAAAAAGATTATAAAGTTCTTTAGTTAAGTTTTAAATTTCAACGAGAGTTGAACGGTCGACTTTTCTTATGTTCTTCTTGAACGAAGTTAGACTGAGTCTCTATCGTTCTTAGGTGTCTTGGTAACTTCGACCAGATAAGAGGTCCCATATATTTAATAGAATTCCTACCAAATCTTACAGTTTCGAATCTTGGCAGTTCAAAGTCACTCTTCCGTAAATTATACTGAGTGTTCTTTATGTTAAATAGGTCAGAAATATTCTCGGGTACGAGACTGGGCTTAACTTTAAACATCAAAGTGGCAATGTCTTGTAGGCGCCGATTGTACAACGTCGGTGGTTTAGCGCGACTTAGCAGTTCTTGATAGGACGCTGATCTAGTGTTGTACACCGCCCTAAGTGCTCGCTCCTGAATCCGCTCAAGCTTTCTCCGATCTGATGTTTTACAAAAGTGCCATACTAGATGACAGTAGGTTAGATGGGGCAGAATTTAAAAACTGTAAAGTGATTCTTTAGCATTACAGGGTATCAAATTGCGTAGCCGCACTAGGACCCCTACTTTTTGACTGGCCTTAGAGCATAGATCACTGATATGACTAGTAAACTCAATTTTTCATCGATTTGAACTCCTAAAAGCGGTATTTCCCCTATTCTCTTAATAGTATGACCGTCGAAAGAAAAAATTTGATTATCGTTGTCTTTGTCAACTTTTCTCGGGTTGATCGTTAATAGCTAGAACTGTTCTGGGTTCGTTGAGAGATCGTTGTTCTTGTGCCAGGATAGAGCTTTCTCTCCATGTATCTTGATACTTTGCCACGACAACGTCATGCTGCTTCCCCATGACATACATCTGATGGTCGTCGGCATACATGCTCAAATTAGCATTATTTGTATGGAATGACATATCGTTTTGGAACAAATTCACAGAAGGGGGCCAAAGGACGAGCCTTGCGGGCAGCCAAGCACCATCCTTTTCCAGTCACTTGTCACGCCTTTTATTTTCACGCTATTGAGCCTATTGTCAAAGTATGATGTAAGAAGGCTGAGAGAATTTTGTCCAATGCCATAGGCTTCTAGTTTCTTTACGATTAGAGAATGGCTAAGAGAGTCAAAGGCTTTACTCAAGTTAGTAGACATTATGTACATCAGTTCCTTTCTGTCAATAGCTGATTTCCAGTCTTCCACGAGTCTAATTAGAGTGGTCTGACAGCTATGATGTCTTCTATACGCTGTAATTCTCTGATAGAGAGTTCGATCATAGTGCCCGGTGATTTGCTTACTGAGCATATGCTCAAATGTCTTATTTACGGTAACAAGGGACGTGATGGGACGATAGTTCTTCGCCAGTTGTCTATCACCTTTTTTAAACACTGGCGTCCACTCTCCCATTCTCACGCACAAGGCATCGCCCCAGCTCGATACAGCTGTTGTAGAGAGTAATTAGCGGTGGGACAATTCCACAGGCCACGTTCTTAAGGAGTTTAGGCGGTGCTCCGGGGTCCCACCGACAGGACTTATAGGGGTTGATATTTTCAAGCGCCTTTTGCACTTGATCCTTGCTGACACGATTGAACTCGAAGTGCGTTCCTAGGTATGTTTCCCTTAGAGCTTTAACGCTGCCATGGTTGTCATGGTTCTCTTATGTGATGTAGATAGCACTATCTCCTATAATGCTAACAGCAGCTGTGGTGAAATAGTTCACTAATTGCTTAGCTACCTCGCATTGATCTTTTACAATGATGCCCTCTTCTGTTTTTAAGCTGATTAAGGTGGACTCCTTAGTTTTGCTATTAATAAATGGCCTAAAGGCGTTGTAAAACTCCCTTGGCTTGGATTTCAGCTCCTCTGATTTGGCGAACCAGTATTCCATGATAGCCTTCCTCCGTTCGCGTGTGGCAATATTCCTGTGCTTTCTTTTAAGTTCCATGTTCTCTGGCGTTCGGTTACTTACTTACTTTTAGCGAATTTTGTATTTCAAATTGTAGCGTGCGGCTGTAGCCCTTATGGAAAAGATTTTTCCATTGGCAGCGCAATTCAAAAGTCCAAAAGAGCAAAATTTCATATTGCAAATTTCATCATGAGGTGAAAATTCGTAATCACTGTGCTGTTAATCATCTGTATCTCAACTGAACAAATAATTGTGTTTCTTATTTATGAACGTGAAAACCAAATAAAAGCTCGTAGAATGCATGAGGGATTTTCGTAAATAAGGCAAACACTGGAAATTCAAACTTTTGAGCCTCATAGGACTTTTAAAAATGTCTAAAATCCAAGAAAAACAAAAATGGCTTGCGTATAGTACAGTATACTAAGACACCTCCATCCTTAATTATCTTTAATTTCTAAAGATGCAATTAAATACCTTCAATTTAAACTTGGTAAATGCTCCTCTGTTGTTGAATGGATATAACACGGCATTGTATCGTTCAAAGGCGATGGCAACGAGTGTGACAACCGAGGAAGCGGCTCCAAACCATGAAAAACTTCCTCCTGTCACAAGTTTGCATAGAACTAAGCCACCTATCCCATCCGGATGGACACCAGCAATCTTGACAATGAAGAGTGGTACCACAAAAATCGCGAACATCATGTCTGCTACGGCCAGGTTGACAATTAAGTAATTCAAATGGGTCCTGGGGAATGAATGTGGCCATGAGAAAAGGAACATCAGGCCAGAACCAAGAAGAAAATTCAAAGCAGACTTGTTAATAACTACACTATTGTACCTCATCTCTTTATTTTTCTTTATAATCCAGCAAACAAGGGAGTTTCCCACAATATTAACTACGATTAGTACCAGGAGTGCGGTCCAAAGCACAATAGTCCATGCCTCGACCATAGCTCACGCGTCAAGTTTTAATGAGCAAAGGGCTGTGCAAAAGTAGAAGGACGAGGTGTTCAAAACTGATTCCAAGTATAAAGTGATCCTCTGAAACAAACAGTAGACCAAATATGTCAAGTGAAATACAAGGCGTAAGGGATAAAGGACGAAGAAGGAAGAAAAATAAAGGGAAAAGTAAATGATCTAAGATAGAGGGTAATAGATGACCAATAAAGGATAAATGAAGCAGGATCAATGATAGAAGATAATTTATGAAGGATGAGGAAGGAAGAAAAATGAAGGAAGGATAAATGAAGCAGAATCAAAGATGAAAGATGATTAATAAAGGATGGAGGTGGAAGAAATATGGAGGAAGTATAAACGATGCAGGATCAAAGACGGAAGATGATCAATGAATGATGAAGGATAAAGGATTAAGTAGAAAAAACAATTGGGAAGGCTTAACAATGCAGGATAGAGGATAAAGAACGATCAATGAAGGATATGATATATGAAGGATGGAGGATGAAGAGAGAAGTAAAATGGAGGAAAGATATAACAATGCAGGATCATTTAAAGATTAAAGATGACCATTAAAGGAAAGAGAATGATGATGGATGATGATGAAGGATGAAGGAGGGATGATTGACTTTGCGTCCGCCAAGATCTTAGACTCGTTTACATACATGACTCAGTTGTCACAAAATGCAACAGCACAAAATTCGCAAAACTGAAGCGAGTTCGGGATCAAAGATAACGAAATTTTGCACAAAAGCAGACCAATGCTAAGACGTTTCGATAAGTTTTATACTAGTAGAAAACTTACTGAATTCACATCTGCTGTAATCTTCGACTCATTTACATACGTCAGCTGTAACTGAACAAATGCCCAAACTGAACCGAAATTGGGATGTTTCATGTCGGAAAAAACTCTAAATTTATCTTTGGAAAGGTTTGATTACAGATACATATTAGATACCTTGTGAATTTCGAAAAAGGTTTATTCCATTAGATGTTTGAAAACGCCTCCCATGTATTTACTTAGAGGATCAAATACTCAGACAACGCAATTTTAAGTGTAGATTGGCGATGGAAAAAAGGAAAAAATTAAGTCATGTTGACCAATAAAAAAGAGAGATCTTCCTTACCTGTGGCTAATGGCAGATAAACCCAGAAAACTTTCAGCGCCACGGAGAAATTACTTCGAGGAAGGTACTTAGCTAGAAGGGCAGTTTCCTACTGAATGGGTGATGGACATTGAGTTAAGGGGTTTTTTTTTAGTACGTCACATAGTTTTCATTGCAGGTGTTCCATCCAAATATTGGGGGATTGATAGTGGTAATACAATCAATGCTTAGCTATTATTGTGACATATTATTGAATTTGAAAATTACCGACTTCCATTAAATCTGTTTAAATAAGTGTGGAAAATGCATGTGAACAATACATCAAAACAAAAGCTCATACTGAAAAGTGGCGAGTTTCCTCCTAGAAGTGATTTCTCATTAGTCTTAATTAACCTTCAAACTGAGACTTGGCCTCTCGTTTATTAGTCTACTTTAAAATTGAAACGTCTCTTACTGTGCCAAAGGAATGATGTTCATACGTATGATGCACGATCCTCGCAGTAGATAGCGCTATTTAAGCAATAGCGAAAATCAGACCTGAAAAAAATCAGGCCTGTACGGGACTCGAACCACTGACCTCTGCGATACTAGTGCAGCGCTCTTACCAATTGAGCTAACAAGCCAACTGAGAGCAGGCCGTTAAGTTGATTCGTAATGAACCCGTGAAAGTGATAAATGAGATAGAATAAATATATGAAAATCATATATTTTGAACTGCGGTATTTGATACGTATGATGCACGATCCTCGCAGTAGATAGCGCTATTTAAGCAATAGCGAAAATCAGACCTGAAAAAAATCAGGCCTGTACGGGACTCGAACCACTGACCTCTGCGATACTAGTGCAGCGCTCTTACCAATTGAGCTAACAAGCCAACTGAGAGCAGGCCGTTAAGTTGATTCGTAATGAACCCGTGAAAGTGATAAATGAGATAGAATAAATATATGAAAATCATATATTTTGAACTGCGGTATTTGATACGTATGATGCACGATCCTCGCAGTAGATAGCGCTATTTAAGCAATAGCGAAAATCAGACCTGAAAAAAATCAGGCCTGTACGGGACTCGAACCACTGACCTCTGCGATACTAGTGCAGCGCTCTACTCATTTATCACTTTCACGGGTTTATTACGAATCAACTTAACGGCCTGCTCCCAGTTGGCTTGTTAGCTCAATTGGTAGAGCGCTGCACTAGTATCGCAGAGGTCAGTGGTTCGAATCCCATACAGGCCTGATTTTTTTCAGGTTTGATTTTCGCTATTGCATAAATAGCGCTCTCTACTGCGAGGATCGTGTATCATACGTAGTGAGAAGCTTGTTAAACATAAACTACAATTGTTACCTGCAGGTAGACAAGCTTTCAGCCCTGGTGGCTGCAGTAACAATATTTTCTAAGATGCGGGTGTGAAGCCTTGATGCAGTTAGGCTGGGAACCATAAATATTAATACGGCTGATGTGTTCGCTCACTATAAATTTCCCGTCGATAATTTTAACCGATGTCTCGAATTCTCCGTAACCAGGCTTTGTTCGAAATCTAAGCTGATAGGTGCATTCATTGGGCATCGATGTGGATTCAAAGTTTGCTTTACCAAATCCTAAACCCATCCCGTTCTCAATGCCATCAAAAGTTTGTACTTTAATGCTGGACATTTCCTGCCATGCACTTATAATGTCATTCACTGATAGCTCCTCGCAAAGATGACCAACCTCCGTAAGTAAATTATTTATGAAGTCGACGGCGCGCATTGCACTTATGCGAATGTGCGCATGAGTAGTATTGAGAGGCAACCACTGGACACATGGGCAGAAATACTCGGGAATCATAGCATCTTGGCAGGATCGATTCCGAGGGATCGCTGAAAAGAGGCTTGTCCCTCGGGTAAGATCAGAATTCGATGGGTCGGCAGGGTATTTCAATAAGTGCATAAAGGTTGCGTGTAGATCTAAAGGTGAGGTAATGACTTTTGTATTATGCTTGAGATTCTTCACAAGTTCTGGATACTTAAAATGGAATTTAGAAGGAAGTGCAATGGATAGGAGCGGCAAACGCTCCTCCAGTTTACCCTGAATTGTGGAGCGGAACTCCCCCGTTCTCGCCCCGTGGTCTCCCATGACAACAAAAAACGTATCATTCAAAGATCCAGAATCGCGGATGGCTTGAAAAAATTTTAAAAAGTCTTTAGCAGCTGATCCAAGTGGCATGATTGATTCATGATGGCACAAACTGCTCACGAAAGTGAATCCAAACTTGAGTGTCCCGGGATAAGCTCTAAACAGGCTTTTCAGGTATTCAAGCTGAATAATGTGCTGTGGTTGTGCATTGATACAGAAGGCATGAAGTCCACTGTCAGAGTTGTGCGGCACCGCTGACCAAAAGGGCCGCGCGTAGTGATCCGCGGGTGGTTTGTTGAAACCTTTGAGTCTCATGTTAAAAGTTGCTGAAAGGCAAAGTGTATCATATCAGAATTTATTATCCAAGTACACTTCCTAGAGTATAAGTAACGCCATACATGAGTACAAATATCACGCGGTATTTGTACACTAGAGTACCGGTTAAACAGGTTTTCTCGCATCGTGCAAGCGAAGAGTTGAATTGTAGTTACGAAAAAGAAATGGCAGACAATTTGAATCATATTTCCGACGACGAAGAGTCAGAATGGTTGGCAAATATACATCCAAGTTTGTTAGATGAATACAACGAAGAAAAACAGCTAGACCACTTGGAAATTTCTTCATTTATCGCCAATTCCTTTCCGCTTCGCATACTTCTGTCACGCACTCCCCGTAAATCAATATCCACGAAATTCGCCCGCACTGAAATAACAGTTTGGCGTGTTGGATAATAAATAACTTATTAGACGTTTTGTTGTGTAGTATCGCTGAGTATTTTTACTAGTTATTTGTATTTTGACTCGCCCTACGGGCTCGTCAAAATACGGCACAACTCGTAAAAACACTCAGTGATACTACACAATAAAACGTCAAATAAGATCTATATATTGATAAGAGATTATATTAATTGTGGATTTCTGTAGAATACGGTGTACTTCTTGACTGAATGGGAAGGGGAAATTTTGGGGAAAATATCCGAGCATTCAGAAAATTCTTTAATCAATGTAGAGTAGATTTTGTTGACACTGATAGTTCGAGAATGGTTTTTAAGATCTAGTGATCAAATCCCGTTTAATAGCAACCCTGAGTTATCTCGAACAGGAACCAGGAACCCTTTGGACTTTTAGGGAGATCGATTCTAGATTATTTGACCCAAGTAGACATTTCTGAACCTCTCTATCAATCGGCTGAAGTTAAGGATTGAAAGTGAGCCATATCTTCCTGCTGCCACTCATTTGTTTGAAATTTAATTAATCACAAAAAGTTGTGAAAAGATAAAGACGCCTTACCAATTGATGGTGCATCTTCGCTAAACATTGTAGCATACCCATGCTCCTTGAAGGTGTTGAAAATGAAGGGCCACTCGTCTAAAGACTTAGCGTTGTCGAATCCAATTCGTGCTTCGTGTAATTTACAGTTCTCCTCCACAGTCTTCCCAGTTAATAGCGCTGTGAGTTGGGGTGTGGTCGCCTCTCCCACGAGAGAAAATCCCTCGAAAATAAACGATTGGAGCTCATCGCGAAGAAACTTGAACGATTCTGGTAGGAGACGTTGGAAAGTTGCCTGTGATGTCTGATCTAACGCCAAGATTATGACATTGAAGGGTAAACCAGTTCTCTGGGAAGCAGTTCGTTGCAATACCTCTTGCTTCGGGACAACTTGTGCATGAAAATCCTTTTGAATCATTCCGTTGGAGAACTCAGCATTGATTTGTATAAAGTCGTGTTCTAGTTTCAAAGTTGGGCCTTTGAACTTTAAAAAAGTCGGCTGTTCTCCTAAAGTGAACCCCGAGTCAGAGGCGTTTATTCTGTGAATGGTTTGAACAGAAATACTCCTCAAAGGTGCTCCTGTAGATTAAAAACGACACCGAAGTTATTTTTTTAAGAAACAATACGTATTTCGATAGAGTCTTTGGTAACTAATCTCAGAGTAATCACAGCAGTCAAGAAATAGCTCAGAAGAAAGAAAACCCGCATGTGTCAAATGGGCAGTCAGAATGAGGCAATTAAATTAACGTTACATCTGATTGGTCAACTTGAAAAGTTTATTGTTCGTTTGAAGACCAGTCGCTAAGCAGAATAAGGCGATTCTTGTGCAATCTTGGCTGCAAAATTGGTTACAAAATTGACGGACATGACGTGGAAGACCCTTTGGAAATGGCTAATTATTTTAACTCCTATGTTTCGACGATAGCCGATAAATTACGTGACACCATTTAACAAATGGTAAACACCACAGCGTACACTATTGAGATATGGATGCACGCGGGAGGTTGCTAAGCACGAAAGAAGCGTAAGAGTCGCTCGAGGCGATAGCCGAGAGCGACTCTAACTTCTTGAGTGCTTAGAGTGCTTAGCAAACCTCCCAAGTATAGCTTACTAGGCTTCCCTAGTTTGAGCACTCTGGCATGGCTTAGACGATACCACAAATGTGGGATCGTTCGGAGTAACCATATGGGTTCTACCCCATCCTAGCATCAGCACTGCACTGATAAGGCCCAGAAGGCCGAAACGGTACTGTCTGCAGTTGGTTATAAATATATATATCTACAAACAATATACCAAGCAATATACCAGCCAGATTATGTCTTACGGGTCTTTTTCTACAATAAACTTGTTGTGCATTTACCTATCTTTTCATGAGCACCCTTTAATTCCAGCTCTAGCTCATATTTTCTTTCATAAATTTCCTTTCTTGCTTCAGCCATCTCATTCAAGAACGACCATAATGCGTCTTTCTCCTTTTGGTATTCTTTGCTCTCTGGAAAAAGTATGTGCTTGTAAGTACTGTAAATTGAGTAAAATGAGATTCTCATGAAAGAAAAATCTCAATCAAAAACAGTCCTTCTAGGCGCAGTTACTACTGTTATCTGACAATAAGATAACTTACCTTCTTTCAGGAGACCGATGGCAAGAAACTTTTGAGTTCCGTCACACAAGATGTCCACAAAGTCACTGAATCGATCTGGAACTTTATCAAGTAGTATATCCAGCAATTTGCTACTCCTGAGACGGTCGTTAGTCTTCTTTTCTATCGCCTTTTTATCTTTTTCATCAAAAATTCTCTTTGTCATAAGCTTCTTAAGTATTTTTGTCACCTCGAGATCTTTCACGATAGCTTCTTTTTGACAATTAATTATCTCCTTGTGCATGTCAGTCATGCCTTGTTCCCTTTTACAGTAAGATCTTTCTATCAGCCTAAATACAAAAATAAAGAAGTGTTAATGTAGAAACGGGTATATCATAATAAAGTTTTGATGGTTTATTACCATCAAAGCCTTGTTTTATAATTTATAGTGGTAGAAAAGTAAACACTTGTTGGAGAAAGGAAAACAAAGCATTATAGGTCAATCACAAACCCGACTTCTCGATTCTAAAAGTCAATGAACAATCTCAGGCGAATTACATACATACATACATACATACTTTATTTATTCCAGAAGCAGATGATAACTATTATATACAAATAAAACTAAAAAGAAAATACTTCTAGAAAAGGAAGTTAAGAGGTTATCCCTGTGTAAAAACTCCCTTAAAAG